GAGAAAGACAAGTACCAAATGATTTCACTCATATGTGGAGTATAAAAACAAAGAAAAACTGAAGGAACAAAACAGCAGCAGAATCACAGAACCCAAGAATGGACTAACAGTTACCGAAGGGAAAGGGACTGGGAAGGATGGGTGGGAAGGGAGGGATAGGGGTGGGGAAAAAAAAGGGGGCATTACGATTAGCATGTACAGTGTGTGTGGAGGGCGCACGGGGAGGGCTGTGCAACACAGAGAAGACAAGTAGTGATTCTACAGCATCTTACTATGCTGATGGACAGTGACTGTAATGGGGTTTGTGGGGGGGACGTGGTGAAGGGGGGAGCCTAGTAAACATAATGTTCTTCATGTAATTGTAGATTAATGATACCAATTAATGATACAAAGCTTTTAAAATAAATACCCCTTCTTACCTTAATAAAACCCCAGAGTCCACCAGCTGATGCTTCATCCTGACCTCTACTAATTCTAGGATCCTCCTGTTCCTCTGGAAAAGTAATGGCTGATGTGGTTCCAGCTGCCTGTGCCAGAGATGTCAAACTGGCTTGCTGAGTAATGGGAGTTGGTAAAATACCTAGTTAATGGCAAAAATTTTTTAATATAGGTAATTTATTCCAAAAACTATTTCCTATAAAAAGGAGATACAACATAGAAGATAAGTAGTTCAAAACAGCCTTAATAATGTGATCTGTATACTCAGGCATTTCAAGATTGAGTTATGAACTCAATGAAGCACCTTTATAAAATACAAATTAAATTCCAAAACAGAGATTTCCTTCCCTTTTCATAGCCTTCGATACCAACTGTCCTAAAAGTGGACAGAAGACACGTATCTAAAAGCACTTCATGTTTGCTCTACTCAGCATGTGGATGTGGACATTGGTTAATTCCAATCCACTTAACGAATGAAAATAATTGGCATGAGCACCCAAGCCTATCATATAAGAATATGTAAGAAGTGGTGCACTGTCCACATACCCATTTCTAACTCAAAAAAGAAAATTCACATATACACAGACATGGGCATTCTTACGCTCTGCAAAAAATTTTACTTGTAAAAGTAGGTATGCAAAGTCGGATAATGAAAATCACAACAAAGTTGCTTTTTCCCTAAAATGAGAAGCAAAAGGCAGAAGATAACAGAATGAAGTTTTGATACTGGTTTCCAACCACCATTCCAGGGAAACCAAAAAAGGTATAACTGACCTAGAAAAGGAAATGGCCCAACAGCACTAACTCGGCACACGTCAGCTTTACTCTGGTTTTGAATCTTTACCTGACTAAATGACACTACTCCCTAGACCATTCAATACTGTTAATTTTTTAAGTAAAACTTTAAAAAAGAACTTTAGGATTTCACCTTGGTGTCTGTAAGTGCACAAATTGTTAAGACAAAATTTTGGAGTTTTATTGACACTCCATATACTAATCAGATACTAAGGTTTATAATATGAAAACCATATACTGTTACATCAGCTTTAATAATTTAAATGACAAAAACACAAGAATATGAAAACTCTAGAAATCAAAGAAATGAGTTAAAAGTAAAATATTAATGCAGAGAAACTAGAACCCTCATACACTGCTAATGAGAAAAGAGTATAATGGGGCAGGTGCTTTGGAAAACAGTCTAGCAGCTTTTTGAAAGGCACAACAATTCTGTGCCTCAGCATACACCCAAGAGAACTGAAAATATGCTCACACAAAAACCTGTATACAGATATTCAAAAAACAGTATTTACAATAGCCAGAAAGTGGAAATAACCCCCAAGTTCATCAATTGATAAACTGAATAAACAAAAATGTGATAATATCTCCATACAATGGAGTATGTTTTAGCCATAAGAGGAATGAAGTACTGACACAGAACAACATAGATGAACCTTGAAGGTATTACACTAAGTGACAGAAGCCAGCCACAAACCACCACATACTGTACAACTCCATTTATACGAAATGTCCAAAACAGGCTCATAGAGACAGAAAGCAGATCAGTGGCTACCCAGGGTTGTAAGGTCTGGGAGGGAGTAGCACTGGGAGGGAGTGCTAATAGGTATAGGGCTTCTTTCTTCCTTATTCCTCTGATTACAAGGTTCTAATGTTGATGGTGGTGATGTTTGCCCAACTCTGTAAATATGTGCACAACTACTGAATTGTATACCTTGAAGTGGCATGCAAATGGATTCTCAACAGAAAAAAATTCGCTGTAGGCATTTATTTCAAAGAATGAGTCAGAAGTCACCTGTTGCTGGAGGTGCAGAAAATGACGGCATCAGGGGCGTCTGGGGTGCTCTTCCTGCATGCCCCCTTGTAATATCGTAAGTTGAACTGACAGCAAATCCTGATGTAGGGGGACCCGCAGAGGGTGCAGACAGCAGAGCACTCGGGGCAGAGGCTGAAGGGGGAAAGTGGGCCAGAGGAGGACTGCCGACTGCAGCGGCAGCTGGGGGAGGGATGGCAGGTGGCACAGACATCACAAGTGGTGGGACAGAAGGAACTGGTGAAGGAGGCACCAAGGCCAATGGGGCTGCAGGCCTCCCAGGAGGAAGGGGAGGCTGCGGGGTGGAGAACGTGTGGGGTGGCAGGGACGGCAGTGAGGATCCACTCGGAGAAGAAAAAGAACAGGTTGCTGCTGAAAAAAAAAGTGGAGAAGAAAAAAACAAAATTGGCAAGACTTTTCACTTGATTCAGAGTATCTTGTTTCTTTCTTCTTGTAAAATCTTTAAAGTTAAATAACACCATATCCCAAGAACTATTTTAGAACGTGTAACTTAAAATATACAGCAACTATGACTGAGTGCAAATGACTTTCAACTCTCATAGGCAAAAAAAGCAGCTCTATAAAACTAGGTTACAGTATTGTTCATAGATAGATCTTTCTGTTTTCAGTAAAATAAAACCATTTTGTTGATTTCAGCATAAAAACCTACACACCAAAGGCACAAAAACAATGGTCAGAAGATTAATCCCCACAAAGTCAGGGAACATGAGACAAAACTAACACATGCTTTTTAGGATATTTTAGTCATAACAAAGATGATTTATAGGCAATATGAATATAAAGAACAAATGTTTACCTAAAGCAACACATACATGTTTCGTTTATTGGCTTAAATAAAAGACAATGTCCCTTCATCATAGAAAAGATTAGAGAAGTTTTAATACACGCATTCATTTTCTAATAGGCTTGAAGGGCAGCTAAGAGTATCTTCACTATCCTCACAACTATACTAGACAAGCCCGTGTACCTAAAGGAAGCGGGGTGGATGCAGTGGTGGCCAGGCCGGCAGGGTTTGGTGGGGGAGTCCCAGGTGGCGTAGTCTCTATTCCACTCTCTTCCATCATTTTCCCTCAAATATGGTATGCTGTAAAAATATAACACTGTTACAAATAGCACAGTACCCAGACATATTTTTTAAGTGTGTAAAGTTAGAGAATAGTCTTAAAAGGTAATCAAGAGACAGATGTCTGTCCTTACAATTTATAATGCCAAGATAAAGGGTCTGTCAGAATTCCGAAGGAAATGGTCTGTGAGAATGGTCAACATGCATACAGTATGTGATCTTTTCATACACACATTTTACATTTGAGAAGTCACTTTATGTTAACTTTAATAATTATCCAATATAATTATTTATAGTTACAATTATTCAATGTATTTTAAATAGTAAATTACTAATTTAATTTCTGCCACCTGAAAATGTTAGATTTATATCTAGATTCCAGTCACAATTACATTTAGAACAAAAATAAATTATTCTCCAAATGTTTCCTCTCTTCCCATAAAGCAGTCTATTAACACGAAGAAATTTAATGTCCTCAATCCTCTATTTCCCTAGTTCACATCTTAAATCTACTCTGTAATGGCTAAAT